AAATGGACTTATGAAAAAACTAACACTTTATACACACAGTACAAACACACTCTCACGCATACACGCATTACTTAAGAATAATATTTTCATATGTGCAGTAAGTCACAGTTCTGGCGACCTCTTCGCAGGGTGGCGCGCACTGTGCACGCGTGCGTGGTGGCGAGGACATCCCGTCCTGCGGGCGCGTCCTGCGCTCCCGCACCAGGCCTGTTGGGCCCCGCACCTGTGCACCTGCAGGCAACGGGCCCCGGGACTGGGAGACCTTTGAGATCTGTTTGGCGCTCCGTCTTGCAGGCAGGACGCCGGGCACTACGATGCCTTGCTCTTGTTCTTGGCTCCGCTGCCGTACGCTTGCACGTAGAAGTTGTAGAAGAGCATGAACATGAAGAAGTTCTGCGGCACCATGATGGCGGCGTAGATGTACTTGCACTGGTACTCGCAGCTGGGGATGAGCAAGACACTCACGGCGTGCAGACCAAGGAACACGAACTGGGTCTGGAGGAAAGAAAGTCGTCTCGTCTTAACGGTTGCGAATACAATGGAGATGGGAACATTTTTTTTTTGCCAGAAGGGGGGGGGGGAAGCTGTGACGGGATCATTTGGATTGAAGATCACTTAACTCCTACACCCCACGCTAAAAAAACGGTTAAATTTCCCATAACATTTGTCTTGAAAATTTACCCCCAACGTTAGGAATGGGTAAAAAGACCCCCCTCCCCTCACCCATGATAAGTTTGTGTTGCCGTTTTACGCAAGCCAATCGATGCGACGAACGCAGAACCATTGGGCGGCCGCGCAATCTCTTCAATCTTATTGGCGCCGATTTAGTGTTTGCTTTTCGCCGTAGGGGAAGTACGGAGGAGATAAGGGCCTTTTGGGCTCCGAGAGCCGGACGCAGACACAATACGGACGGCGCTAAGCCCACGGCCCCGCGCCCCGCCGCCGCGCCCTCTGCTCTGCAACCCGTCTGCGACCCACCCTCCGACGCGAACCGGGTAACTTTCCACTTTCCCTTTCCGGCATTTCGGTGCGCGACCGCGACTGGTTGGTGCGCGTCCACTTCTACTGGGGAAAGATGCGTGAATACCCGGGACGTACACCCCACCCCATACTATCCTACCATGCATCGCCTCGTCGCCCCTTTTCACATTCATTTTTACATTCATTATTTTGGTAGGTGAGTGCAAAGGTATAGCAGTTGAGAGGAGTCTCTTTGGTACACTTTCTAAAAAATATAAATGCCTAATCCACTGATTGTAGCGTGCCACGGGGGAGGTTCTGCCGAGAATCTCGTACAAAGGGGTTTAGCGAGCGATCCACTTTTGCAACTCACCAGCTGCATCTTGGTGATGTACTTTTTCCACCAGATGCTCTTCTTGTACTCGGGTGCGATGGTGGTGAGCAGGTAATAGCCGTACATGATGGCGTGGACGAACGAGTTGATGACACCTAGGATGGTGCCGTGTCCGCCTGCGAGGGAAACGGAGACTTAAAGTATATGGAGCAGACCAGACGAGTGCGAGACGTCGATAGGTATAGAGACAGTCTCTATAGTGGTAGGCGGCAGCTCTCTCACTCTTCCAAGTCCGCCTCGGCTCTCTCCTGGGGGTCGAGCCAGCGTTTAGCGGCGAGGAGGAACACGATGACTCGGCGTTCAAGGGCTTTACGGGGGTCAAGTAGTCAAACGGTTCGCCGGCGAAATGGCCAGCTGTACGACCCGGTGTGCCGTAGCGAGCCGGTAAGTGCCTCAAAAGTAGGCAAATGGAGTACTTGGTGGGCGAGCTCACGGAAAAAATGAATTAGCTAAAATGGCTGAGGCATTTGTGAAGTTGACCCTATTTCAGAATATAACCTGACCAGCGAATTATTAGCTAAAATTCTCTCGAGGGCTAACGCACAAGTCTTTTTAAATAGTTCATTTTTCTCCTGCTCGCTGTGAATTGCAGTACAAAGTTGTGCCTTCGAAAATGGGAGGCGCTACAAGACAGGCGCCTCACCCGCCGAGCTGTCCTACTTCCTGATCTTGCTGGCCGTTGCCACTTACCCGGGTAGTACTTGACGGCCCCCCACAGCGCTATTGCTACCCCCGTGTGGTGGTAGACGTGCAGGAACGTCACTTGTCTCTGGTTCTTTCGCAGCACAATGAACACCTAGGGCAGCAGACACAAGAGGGACCGTTAGCTCATCTGCCCGACCGTGGGGCGGTCGGCGCGCGCCGCGGAGATAGGCAAGCCAACCGGCACGTCAGTTGGGTTGCCTGCCTTCCCCGGCTCACCGGCCGGATCGGTGGTTTTGTGCGGATGTTATAGGGGACTTGGTCGAGGTACTCACGGTGTCGAGGAGGTCGATGAACTTCAGGATCATGTAGAACCACACGTACCAGGCGATCTGAAATACAGCGCAAAAGAGTACGTGAGTGACGACGATCAAAGTCGTGACAACCATGCAATCTTTATGTGTGTACCGACCTCGACTGCAGCGGGGTCGTCGGAGAAGTCGACGGGCTGGCAAAACAACTTGTAGTGTCCTCCAGGGCCCCATCCCAAAACCAGGCACTGTAAAGATGAGTGAATTAAACGCCGTCATCGATAAAATTAGACAAGTCTGAGGACACATCCGAACGCCGGCTCACCTTGTAGAAGATGAACACGCTGGACCCTATTTGGAAGATATTGAAGACGGTCATGAGGTTCTTCACATTCAGAGGATCCCTTCCCTCCATCAGACGGGGCCCCAGGTTGAGGACGAAGTATAGGTAAAACCCGATGATGGCGAGGCCATGGAAAGGGTTCCCGACGAGGGGCAAGTGGTTGGTTCTGGGATCTGCGTTAAAAAAGTATTTTTAAAAATGTGTCTTTCAAATTACCGGAATAAAGCCTAACTTTAAGGTGCTCGAGAACCAGACGTCGCCAACCGACCGAAAGGCCCACTCGGTACAACCGCGTTGTAACGTCAATAAGGTTTCGACGTCGGCAAATTCAATGAGCAAACCGCAGCCATGCTAACGTCACTACTTCTTGTCGCGCCCGCGTGTCTCACTCACCAGCGAGCTCGACGAAGAGGAAGTCGTAGAACTTGAACGCGGCTGTGATTAACGCGGCCATCGTGCGTTTGGTTCCTGAAACAGAGAGATGAGGCGATGTAGGGCGCTCCGAGGAGGGCATCACTCGCGGGGTGGACACGCGCGGCGCACGAAGCACACCGGTGCACTCTGATTTGTGATTCATGAGCGACTGCCAGACTGACGGACAGGGAATGGTCGAAGACAATAGGGATCGTTTAAAAGTACTCCACTTTGTAGTTTTTCCAGATTCATTTAGCAAATTTTTGGAGCTCAGCGCCTGCGAACCTCAGGGTAGACCACCCCGCAGAACACGCATGCATTGCAGGCAAGATTTTGCCTACCTATCAGGCGGTATGGGAGCGTTCAAAGGCTGAACTTGGCAACTTCGTGACGGCGACAGACGGAGGTAATTCCGGATGATTCCATAGGATAGGCGAAACCGCCCACACACGTTGCGCACTTTAACGTTCAGCCACGGTTGTAACGTCACTGTTCTTAAACTACGAATGTGTGCACTCTAAATGCGACTTTCAACGACGGCTGTAACGTCAGTGTGTCTTTGTACTTTAACGACAAATGTGTTCACTCTAAATTCGAATCTGCCTGTTTGCATGCAACCAAGAAATGTGCAAATTTTTAAAAACAACAGAACAATATGAAAAACAACGAAGTGTTCTAGTTAAAATGGCTTCATTAAATATTTTAGAGAACTCACGACATTCTTCACACATTTTTTTTTCACAAATCCGACACACATTTGTTATACCTTTGAAATTTTCTCCTTGTGAAAAATGCTGGCGTGACGGTGCAGCGGGGGTGGACTCACCGCGCCTCCTGCTCTCGCTCCCCTGCCCGGGAATCAGTAGGAGCCAACTCGGCGTTGATAAGGCGACTGAGCCGCAATAAACCTAACTAAACGGGGGGCATCGCCTCTTCCTGCCCCGCCCCCCC